ATAAATCAATGTTAGAAAACGAGAAACTTATATCGAAGTGTATGGAAATATCAAACCATGAAGGATGTTTGACAATCATAATTGGTGGTTGATGCTTGAATTTCATTGGATTCATCTTTGAATCATAGAAAAAATTTGGGTGTCAGTTAGTTATCCTCATGATTGGTAATGATTTTGGAATGTCCCTTAAAGCCTTTTCAACATCATGTATTGATGAAATATCAAGAATAGGAAGAAAAGAAAGGTTAGTGGAAGATGAAATTTCTCTCTTTTTCTCCTCCACATTCTTTTTTTCTCACTCTCATTCTCTTTTTGAATCACTTTTTCCCTCGCAAAGATGTTGATTTTATTTTCCTCCTCTTTACCTTTTTCAAAACTCTCTATCAATATTTCTTCAATGTCATTTTCACTTATGTTCCCTCTTTTCATATCGCTTTCTAATTTTTTTTCTCTCTCATGCTCATTTTCTTCCTGATCCGTCTCGACTTCTCCATCAACTCGAAGAAACATGGCGTTATGATTCGAACATTGGCTTGCAACATGTCCTTGCCCCAAACACTTGAAACACTGGATGTCATGGGAATGGTTTGAAATTGTCCGGGCATTGCCTTTACTGGTTTCGATAATGGCTTTGCGAATTATCAGGGTATTTCAAGTGTTGGTTTCAGCAATGGCTTTGTAAATGGCTAGGGCATTGCCTTCGGATTCTTCTTCAGGTGTAAAATAATTTCCACCTTTGCTTGCACTAAGAATGATTTCAATATCAGTGGTGCAAAGTAAAGGAAGTTTGATCTTACGTCTCATTTCTCAGAGCTACGTCGGTTGTAACTTTGCTCCCATCTTCTCTTGGTTTACAATTAGCAACAACTTTAGAAATGCATGTAGGCTTTGTAGCTTTCTGATTAGGACATTGACTAGTTGCGTGTCCTTTTCCCAAGCAATGATAGCATCTAAAATATAGATGTATGTTACATTTGGTTGGAGTAGTCTTCTCTTTTGACATGTACTTCCTTAATTGAGAAACTACATCATCACTTCTTGGAATTCAACTCGATTCAGAGATTGAACCCGAATAATGCTTCACAACATTTTTTTCTTGAAACGATTCTCATTTCTTCCCTCCATAATCTTCTCAACTTATGAACCATTTCTTTCGTTTGCAAATTTGGTACACCTCCATTATTTTGGATGTCACATTTTCCTGAAAATTTTGTTAGAAAATGTTTTTATGACACATTTTTTCTACTTATTTTATGATAAGACATTTCAGATATGACTTTTATAAACAAATAATATATTTAAGATGTCCTAAAAATTAAATATTAATTTATGAAATTAAATGAGGAGACAGAGATCAAAATATAACCAATTTCATCAAAAGTTAAAAAGTTGGCAAACAAGAGCCAATTTTGAAAAAAAAATTATTCAAAATTAGATAATATATTTGAAATATATTCAAACGAGACCTATTTTTTAAAATAATATTAAAAATTGGAATTAATTGTTTGATTTTTAATTAAAAAATAAATAGTTTAGTTGACAAATTTTAACATACTCAAACCATATTTTTTTATAGCCTTGCACATGTAAAGTAAACGAAAGTCTAACCTCAAGGCTCAAAATTATGTATTTCATTTTTTTCAAAGTTAATCTTCAAAATAGTTTAATAAAATTTCAAAAAAAAATCAGACTCACACCCCGAGTAAGCTTTGTATGTTTGACACCTCGTGTAGTTTTATATAGCTTCAATGATGATTTCTTACCATTTTTATTTGAAATAAATATAAATATCGTGTACGTTCAAGTGCAATGCACACATCCGAAACGAATAAGTCAAAATACTTAAAATGTTTACCACGTACGTGTTGTTTCTCTTTCTTTTAAGGTATATTTTTCTTTTAAAAATAATATAAATATTTCTTAATAACTTAGAATTAATATGAAATGGATGTATTTATATAAAATGAAAAGATACATAAGTTACGTTCACTTTTTTTTATTATAAGCCAACACTTAAACCGTAGGGGTAGGGTTTTCTGGTACAGGAGTAAAACATGCAACCAGATTTTGTTTTCCAGTAATGTTTGGTTTAACATTTTTACATTCGGATTTGGCAGGTCCATCCGGTCCACTAAACGTAATGTCAATGTCGGCGAGTTCTACATTTTCACAAGGAAAAGTACCACTGCAAACGAGTTTGACAACTTCTGGAAGCGCAGCCGTACCATGAATGTTCTTGAAGCTGATATTGCTTATTTTAACATTTGATTCTTCCTGCAAGATGAATCTATTAGTTAGATGATTGATTAACTATTTTAATTGTATTGGGTATTTGATAAGTATGTACATACATTCATTTTGTATTTATTCCATGGGCAGTATTTCTGGTCAATTAGGACGGGGCAACTAACATTCGTTACGGTGATATCCTCGAAATGAATATCCGATGCAGTGCCAGGAAATTGACCTGCCCAAGTCTTGATTATAACACCATTCGAAGTATTAGTCAGGGTGCAGTTGGATACTTTAATTCCTTCAACTGGTTCTTCATTTGCGAACTTTCCAAGACTACCAATATTGATACCATGTCCGGGTCCACAAGTTACTCCTGTGATGTCCAGATTTTTGGAACCATCCCCAATTGAAATACAATCATCACCAGTTTTGATATTTGTGTTTATAATTTTAACCCCATCTGATCTTCCGATGTGAATCCCATCCGTATTTGGACTATCTTTAGGTGCAGATACAGTAACACGTTCGAGAGTAATGCTTTTACATCCCAAAAGATTTGCATGGAACTGTTTGCTATCTCTAATAGTTATATCTTGTATCATTGCATTGGTCAAAAAATCAAGCCTGATATTCTATTTAATTTCAGAGTTAAAAGAGTCCAGAGAAAAAAATGTGTATTAGTTATAACTATTAAAAATAATATCTAATTCTTACGAAATGTAAGAAACCTTACGATGGGGAGGTTACTACAGAAGTCGTGTTTTTCGCAACCTTCTCTCTTATAAGCAGCGGTCCCTTGTCCATCAAAAGCTCCTCCACCAAACAATTTAAAGTTCTCAACATGAAGAAAGCTAACCCATTTAGGCTCCTTGAAAGCTATAGGATCAGCTGGTGCTTTTATATTGCCCTGAACTTGAAGCTCAATTGGAGCCTTTCAAGGAACTTCCAGGGTTGCTTGAGTTAATAAATATGTCCCTTCAGGAATCACAATTGTTGTTGGAGTTGGTGAAGCACAAGCTTCTTTCCAAGCATCCAACAATGGCTAAAACAAAATAGATTAATAAAGAAGTTATACATGTTTTTCACTGTTAGAGTATTAAAGTGAGCTATAATTTTGCTTACCTTACTCAAATCTGTATTCAAGTCAGCCTTTGCACCAAACTTAGCTACGACATCAAGTGCACCTGCTTGAGCTTCCATGGCTGCAATGAATAAATTTAATATTATAGACATTGTACAAACAACATTAAAATTTATTGCCATCTCTTTTATTTTGTATTCACTTGAAGTTTGAATGGTTTTTCCTTTTGTTTAGTCTCAAATATATAGAGATGGTTGGGAAAATTACAACCAACCAAAATTTTCAATCAAACATTTTTCTAATTTAACCGACTTGTGTAAATTATATGGCTAGACTTTACTTTATATGAGTAGCTTGTGTTTTCTTATACATATGGCATGGCTATATAAATATTTGGTTAGTTTGTTTGCAAACTTCAATCATGTAAATTAAACAAAAGTATTTTATCAATATTACTTAAAAAAAAAGGTGTTCTAGAACTAAATCGGGACATGATCCAATATAACCGTAAACATGTATAATGTTTAGCTCCTAAAAAACTTTACTTAATATTTTCTTGATAAAATTGTTTGTTCATATAGTTAATTTTTAGTTCTGAAGTATATCTCGTACTCCTAAAGGCTTTGAAACTTAATCATCTATAAAGAAAGTGAAAATTACTTCCTTCAAGTGTTTGATTTAAAAGTTTCAATCGACTTAGTGAATGTGTTAAATCAAAATGTTTTAATTTGATTACATAGAATTGACATTACCATAGGTATGGCAAAGTAGAGTTTAATACGTCCAAGTACATATTCCAATTTGAACAATTAACTAATTTCATAAAAGCAAAATTAGGTTGACTAAATTAAAAATGTACGAAGAGTACAGGAACTTACAAGTTACAACATATTGTATGTTTTTCCATAATAAATATATTCTTGATAATTATCCATTTTGAAGGCAATGATGTCATCAAAACTACAAATTTGTTAGAAAAAGTTTTTATGACACATTTTTTCTACTTATTTTATGATAAGACATTTCATATATGACTTTCTTAAACAAATAATATTTTTATAAGATGTCCTAAAAATTAAATATTAATTTATGAAATTAAATGAGGAGACATAGATCAAAATATAACCAATTTCATTAGAAGTAAAAAAGTTGGCAAACAAGAGCCAATTTTGTAAAAATAGATTTTATTCAAAATTAGATAATATATTTTAAATATATTGAAACGAGACCTATTTTTAAAAAATAATATTAAAAATTGGAATTAAATATTTTATATTTAATTAAAAATGAATAGCTTAGTTGACAAATTTTAACATACTCAAACCATTTTTGTTTTATAGCCTTGCATATGTAAAGTAAACAAAAGTCTAACCTCAAGGCTCAAAATTATGTATTTCATTTTTCAACGTTAATCTTCAAAATAGTTTAATGAAGTTTCAAAAAAAATCGGACTCACACCCTGAGTAAGCGTTAGAGTGGTACGCCTTTGAGACTTCAATATTTTATTGGAATTATGAAACGGGTCTAATAAAAAGTTTGAATAAGTAAACTTTGTATGTTTGACACCTCGTGTAGTTTTATATAGCTTTAATGATGATTGCTTAGCGTTTTTACTTGAAATAAAGATAAATATCGTGTTCGTTCAAGTGCAGTGCACACTTCCGAAACGAATAAGTCAAAATACTTAAAATGTTACCACATACGTGTTGTTTCTCTTTCTTTTAACGTATATTGTTCTTTAAAAAAATTAATATAAATATTTCTTAATAACTTAGAAATAATATGAATTGGATGCATTTATAAAATGAAAAGATACATAAGTTACGCTCACATTTTTTTATTGCAAGCCAACACTTAAACCGTAGGGGTAGGGTTTTCTGGTACAGGAGTAGAACATGCAGCCGGATTTTGTTTGCCAGTAATATTTGGTTTAACATTTTTACATTCGGATTTGGCAGGTCCATTCGGTCCATTAAACGTAATGTCAATGTCGGCGAGTTCTACATTTTCACAAGGAAAAGCACCACTGCAAACGAGTTTGACAACTTCTGGAAGCGCAGCCGTACCATGAATGTTCTTGAAGCTGATGTTGCTTAGTTTAACATTTGATTCTTCCTGCAAGATGAATCTATTAGTTAGATGTTTGATTAACTATTTTAATTGTATTGGGTATTTGATAAGTATGTACATACATTCATTTTGCATTTATTCCATGGGCAGTATTTCTGGTCAATTAGGACGGGGCAACTAACATTTTTTACAGTGATATCCTCAAAATGAATATCCGATGCAGTGCCAGGAAATTGACCTGCCCAAGTCTTGATTCTAACACCATTCGAAGTATTAGTCAGGGTGCAGTTGGATACTTTAATTCCTTCAACTGGTTCTTCATTTGCAAACTTTCCAAGACTACCAATACTGATGCCATGTCCGGGTCCACAAGTTACCCCTGTGATGTCCAGATTTTTGGAACCATCCCCAATTGAAATACAATCATCACCAGTTTTGATATTTGTGTTTATAATTTTAACCCCATCTAATCTTCCGATGTGAATCCCATCCGTATTTGGACTATCTTTAGGTGTAGATACAGTAACACGTTCGAGAGTAATGTTTTTGCATCCCAAAAGATTTGCGTGGAACTGTTTGCTATCTCTAATAGTTATATCTTGTATCATTGCATTGGTCAAAAAATCAAGCCTGATATTCTATTTAATTTCGGAGTTAAAAGAGTCACGAGAAAAAAATATGTATTAGTTATAACTATTAAAAATAATATCTAATTCTTACGAATTGTAAGAAACCTTACGATGGGGAGGTTACTACAGAAGTCGTGTTTTTCGAAACCTTCTCTCTTATAAGCAGCGGTCCCTTGTCCATCGAAAGCTCCTCCACCAAACAATTTAAAGTTCTCAACATGAAGAAAGCTAACCCATTTAGGCTCCTTAAAACCTTTAGGATCAGCTGGTGCTTTTATATTGCCCTGAACTTGAAGCTCAATTGGAGCCTTGCAAGGACCTTCAAGGGTTGCTTGGCTTAATAAATACGTCCCTTCAGGAATCACAATTGTTGTTGGAGTTGGTGAAGCACAAGCTTCTTTCCAAGCATCCAACAATGGCTAAAACAAAATAGATTAATAAAGAAGTTTTACTTGTTTTTCACTGTTAGAGTATTAAAGTGCGTTATAATTTTTCTTACCTTGCTCAAATTTGTATTCAAGTCAGCCTTTGCGCCAAACTTAGCTACGACATCAAGTGCACCTGCTTGAGCTTCCATAGCTACAAGGAATAAATTTAATATTATCGACATTGTACAAACAACATTAAAATTTATTGCCATCTCTTTTACTTTGTATTCACTTGAAGGTGGAATGGTTTTTCCTTTTGTTTAGTCTCAAATATATAGAGATGGTTGGGAAAATTACAACCAACCAAAATTTTCAATTAAACATTTTTCTAATTTAAGCGACTTGTGTAAATTATATGGCTAGAATTTACTTTCTATGAGTAGCTTGTGTTTTCTTATACATATGGCATGGCTAGATAAATATTTGGTTAGCTTGTTTGCAAACTTCAATCATGTAAATTAAACAAAAGTATTTTATCAGTATTACTTAAAAATGGTGTTCTAGAATTAAATCGGGACATGATCCAATATAACCGTAAACATGTATAATGTTTAGGTCCTAAAAAACTTTACTTAATATTTTCTTGATAAAAACTGTTTGTTCATATAATTAATTTTTAGTTCTGAAGTATATCTCGTACTCCTAAAGGCTTTGAAACTTAATCATTTATAAAAGAAAGTGAAAATTACTTCCTACAAGTGTTTGATTTAAAATTTTCAATCGACTTAGTGATTGTGTTAAATCAAAATGTTATAATTTGATTACTTGGAATTGACATTACCCTAGGTATGGCGAAGTAGAGTTTAATACATCCAACTACATATTCCAATTTGAACAATTACCTAATTTCATAAAAGCAAAATTAGGTTGACTAAATTAAAAATGTACGAAGAGTACAAGAACTTACAAGTTACAACATATTGTAACATTTTCAATAATAAATATATTCTTGATAATTATCCATTTTGAAAAAGTTTTTATGACGCATTTTTTTCTATTTATTCTATGATAAGATATTTCAGATATGACTTTCATAAACAAATAATACTAGACTAAAATTAATAGGTAGGGTTTGTGATTAAAAAGAAAAAAGGTAAATCACATCTAAGTCCTTGACTTTCCTAGGATTTCAAAATAGGATCCAAACGTTGTTTTTGTTACGATAAGGCCACCAATTGTTTTTTTTTTTTTTTTTGCAATCTAGTCACCAAGTTCAATATAGGGATTTGAATGAAAATCCCCAAATTTTAGGGTTTTTAATTTGGGGGAATTCGGGTTGTTACTCCAATGGGACGAATTTATTTTTTCTGTTATCAGGTTTCATTGGTTTTGAATCGGATAAGGATTGGGTAGTTTAGAGTAGGGGTGTGCATTATCGGATATCGAATATTATCCGATCCGAATTTTCGGATATCCGAAAATTTTGGATATCTAAAGTAATGATCCGTATCCAATCTGAAAAAATCAGATATCTGAAAATTCAAATATCCGAATATCCATATCCGAATCCGATTTTTTTTTTGCAAAAAATTCAAAAAAATAACAGAATAAAAGATAAATTCCTTTGTCGAAAAGGTAAATTCCTTTGTCGAAAAGATAAATTCTTGCGTCCGCAAATCACAATCAATGCCTTTGTCAAAAAGATAAATTCTTGCGTCCGCAAATCACAGGTTTTCTCCAAGCCTTCCTCTCCGTCGCCTTCTCCTTCTCTGATCCGATGGCGCAAAGGACAGTTGATTGGGTGGTGCCTTTGGCAGGGTTTATATGGTAATGAATCTTGATTCCGAAGAGCTTCTTGTTGTCAAAGAGGTTTCTTTTCTTTTTTATATTTTTTTTTGGTGGATTTTGGATTTTTTTTGTGCTTGTTTGATGGGTTGTAGTTTAATTGTAGCTCAAAATAAAAACTCTAAAATGAGTTTGCAGTAGGTTTTCAAGTTATGGTTCTTTCTTTTGAATTTTTTGTTGGTTTCATTGATTTTGGTTTTTTTAAGTGGGTTTGATCTCAAGTTAGTGAAATGAATTTGATCTCATGTGTTGGCTTTTGTTGTTTCAGGTGTTAATTGCAGCAAACAGTGCTTCGAAGGAAAAAAAACACAGGTTTGATCATTGAACAATTGCTCTTTTTCATTTTCTCTGAATATGAAAGTTTCTATTTGCTTCCGATGAAATGCCTATCTAGGTGTATATGATGAATGGAATTTTCCATTTATTATTATTGGTATTAATCTATCATCTCGTTGTTAATTTAGTGAGTACATGATCAACTTGGATTTGCATAATGTTATGTGAGTAGGCTCATATTTATAAATGGCTGAACAAGGTTTGAAACCTACTATTGTCTAATATAGCCCAAACAGCTCTGGGCTAATAATATAGTCCAAATTTTTTCGGGTTTTCTAATAATCCGAAATTGGATTTTGATCGATCCAAACTATACAAAAATTGAAAAACGGATCAGATATCTGAAATTTCGGATCGAATCAGTCGGATCGAGTTTTTTTTGCACACCCCTAGTTTAGAGGGGCGCTATCTATGGGCCCTTCTCGGTGAAATCAGTTTCTTCATTGTTACCTCCCATTGTCAACTCGAGTTTCAGTTGGAAAAAGATGGTCTGGCTTGGTTAGCCCCTCCAAGTGTGGAAGCGTTTGTGCGGCGGGTGCTCCTTCGTAGAGTCCCGATGAAAGCCGAGCGTGTGAAAAGGGGCGTTTCGAGTATTTCTAAGCCCATTTTGCTTAAAGTTCTCAGAAACGATTGAACATTTATTCTTCTCGTGTGGTTTCTTATGGCAGGTATGGTCATATATTTCTTTGCTTTCTGGAATATTTCCATTGCTTCGCCTAATGATACGGTTAACGTCTTTTCCCTTTGGAGTGAGGCTCGGCCTTAGGGAAAACAGTATGCGGTTTGAAAATATATTCCCTTTGTTGTAATATGGACTCTCTGGCTTTTCAGAAATGATATAATCTGTAAAGGGAAGTCGATCGGCACAGCACAACTGATCTTTCTAGTTAAATATCAAATTGTTGGTGGTGTTTAGGTAAATTCCCGAAATCTTTATTATCCTTTAATAACTTTATAGCTGATCTTGTGAGGGCTGAATCCACCTTCGAATCCTCGTCTTCACCTGTCCTCGGAACTTTAATAGGGATGTGCTGTTCATCTCTGATATGTATCGACAGGCTGGTTAGTGATTCATCATGCTTCAAAAGCTATCAATATGGGGGTCGATTCCCTCGCTAAGAAGGGGATTGTGTGAATGAATAGCGAAATGGTCGATCTGCATTTTCCGAGCTTGGTTTGATAAGTGTTGGGTGCATTGGAATTGATATCTACCTTCTCACTTTTCTTCTCTCTGGTTCTATTGTATGATTTCGCTACCTTGGAGAATTCATTATCTATTTCCTTGCTGATAGGTTCCATTGCAGTGGGCGAGCCTAGTCGATGGGTTTAGCCTAGTAGGCGAGCCTAGGAGTTGGGTTTAGCCTAGATGTAATCTTGCATTGTTTTTTGGTGTTTATTTGGTATAGGAGACTGTTCTTTGGGTAATCTTTTGAGGTTTGATTGTAATGGTCAATGGAGTATTGTTATGTTCTTTGGATCCAAGATTTTGAATAAAGGTTTCCTAGGCACTTTTTTTTTTCTCTTCCGCTATCATGATCGAGCCTTGGTTTGACAGTGGTATGAAAGGGATTTTAACGAGACCTCATTTATTTCAAAAAATAAAATTCTCAAATTAAAAGGTATATGTTATATGATTAACTTTGAGTATTAAAAGATAATAATATCCTTTTTTGAATATTTCAAATTAAAATAATATCTATTATATGTTTAGATTTGAATGTTAAAATATATTTTGAGTAAATCTCTCTTGAAAATTACATATTGATCTAACATGCTAGGTTAAATTTATTTCAGAATTCGAAAACTTCAAAAATCTTGAAAATTATTTTCTCTTTCCTTAGTTTTTTAGTGATAGGCAAAGGCAAGAGATAGTTCGTACTACTGTACGTTAATATTTTAATTGTAGTATCCGAGAGACAGATGACCGAAAATCCGTCTTAAGAAAACTGTGTAGCGACAGATCTCAACTCATTTCCGATCAATAGATCAATCAATAAAAGAGTATTTTTCTTTCTATATATTTTCAGTTATTTCTAAAGAAAGTATAATTTTCCTTTATTTAATTTTTCTTGGTGTCTATTTTGTCTAGAATTGTTATTTTGTATGATTGTTATTTTGTATAGCACTTGCTTTCATTCTTCACATGCACTTGTTTTCATTTTCCAAAAAAAAATATAAATTATTTTTATTTACATTAGTTATAAATAGACTGAATATGCAAATTAATTGTTTATTTATTTTATTGAATTATTTTATTTTGAATATCGACGTCATAATTTTAGAATGTGAATTAAAAATTTGTTCATACTTGTTTTAAGATTTTATTTTCTTATATATAAAGGATATGAATAAAAAAACAATTATATAAAAAAATAAAAACTACCTACCATCAAAGATCAAAAAGGAAAGTTTCTTACACTTGAGGAAGCTCTTGGAACCAAAATCTGCACTTTAACCCTCCTATAATTCTAGGACTAAGAATTACACCATTAATAATTTATCTACAGCCTAATCATAACTCACCAGTGCTCTCACAAGAACTCCCTGGATTGGCCATGGCATCATGAACAGACAATCTAATGATAGTGCTGCCTGATGATCTCGAAACATCTGCGCATTCCTGAAGATCGGCGTCACAAGCTATCAAAACCCACTCGTTATCGTCATCCAGGTATTTGATATCAAAGGTACCAAGCTCTAGCTTCAGCCTCTTGGCTACTTCCTCTTTTAATTCCACGATACCGGAACTTAAGGAGATCCGGAATCTAATTATATCTTCTCTGTAAGTAGCCTTAATGGTCACGTTCTTCGTTTCCTGTCTTGCTATCACATGGGGTGTTGGGTGAGTAAAGGTGGCCATGGCTTGCTTAAGAGCCGGATCACAACATGGAGGTGGCGTCCAACTAGATTCTGGAAATCGCTCATCAAAGCCGATACCTGTTGCTGAAGTACAAAGGTTTCTCAAGTCTTTTGAACTGCCGGCATCTTCCACTAGCATACCTTCGAATGGTTCTTCGGGTTCTGCTGCTGTAGGCATTGAGAACGTGGCTGATATATTTTGATCCCTTAAAGCATGTTGGAAGGCCAGCTC